AAAATTAGGTCAAATAAAAGTAAATAGAAAAATTGTCAAAAGAAGGTGAATATCGAAATCATAAAATCTGATATAAATTAAAATGGATCAAATTTGATATCAAGATTTCAAGCATTGATCAACATAAAATCAGCCAGGCTCCATTGCAGATTCATGAAATATATCGAATAAGCACCCATCTCTGATTGTAATATAAAAAAAAATGATGCAAACATTTGTCGACGCAGCTGCGTCTAAGGAGCTCATTCCATATGGTTGCCCTCAGGGCTTTGTTTTGGGGTTTTTTGTGCGCCGGAATGTGCAAATAATTGTGCACAAATTGGCTGTAATATGAATGAAGAGATTGAGTCAATGCAAACATGAATGGCGAAATGTAAATGAAAATTGATTTGCATGCAGGTCACATATGTATGTGGGTGTGTGTGTGGGTGTGTGTGTGTAAGTATGTGTGTAAACGCGTTTGAGGGTGCGGTGTGGTCTGTATTTCCATAGACAAACACGGGCCTGGCATGGATTGCATAATAAAAAAGTTGAAAGCATGAGAATAAATGATTTTGCATGAACAGTAAATAAATATAACATAAACAAGCACACGAACACACTCACACTCTCATAGTTAACACATAACAGATATATATATATATACACACACACTCACACACACGTCACAAACATGTAGACTAGAGGCCCAAAAACCATGTGCCAGTTGACATTGAAAAACAAATATACCGCAAAGACTAAAGTGTGTGTGTATAAATATTTATATATACTTGATGCAGAGTCAGGAGTCTCAGTTATTTCATTGCGTTTTTCGTATGCTCTTTCTTTTCAATTGCTCATAAAACAGGGCGCTACCAAGCTAACCAAGGAGGATATTGAGAAAGTATTTTCCTTATACGATCGCGTAAGAACAAATATTATATATACCTATTATAAATAGCATTGGATTATTATATTATTATTTAAACAAAAACAGGACAACAGCGGCACCATTGAGAATGAGGAGCTGAAAGGTTTTCTCAAGGATCTGCTCGAGCTGGTCAAGAAGGTAAGTGCATACTTTATAGACTGATAGCAATATATTTATCCTATAATATATCCTACATATATTGTGCATACAGGACGACTATGATGCCCAAGATCTGGCTGCCTTTGAGGAGACAATCATGCGTGGCGTCGGCCGTGATAAGCATGGCAAGGTTTCGCGCAAGGAGCTCACCATGATACTTTTAACCTTGGCAAAAATCTCGCCCGAAGACGAGCAGTAAATTGGGCCAACTAGCTAACGCAACACATATACATATATTTTTGTTACCAATTTGGGTAAGCTAATGCAAATGGGGCGAGCATTTTTGGCCGCAAGCCAATGAACAAATTTGATTACTTTATAAAACTGCCCGCAAACTAGGCGCAGCTCGAGGACATAACCTCACAAATGCAAATTATAAAATTAAAATATGAAAAAAGGAACTTGTGAACAAATTGTTGAAGCGCAAATCTACAAAGCAAAAGCAAATGAATATAAAAGATAATTCAAACTAAATGTTTCAAATTAATTAAATGTTTATGCATGTTAAGCTTTCGAAAGTCTATTTCCTAAACACAAGAGCTCCAAAATACAAAGCAAACAAAATTATTATGTATGTGTATTCGTAAAGCAAAACCTCTTAAGGAAATTTTAAAATAAAACCAAAACCAATATTAAATACCTAGTACTTGAAAAAAATTACTTTTGAAAAAGCAACTCGAAACCAGCCAGAAAAATATACAATTATTAAATAAATAAAAAAGTTCAGTACATCGATTTTAAAAATAATGAAATCATTTTCGGGTAGCCAAATACTCGTAATATTTATATTTTCTATTTCCAATATATTGCATATTTATTTAAATATTTAACTAAAATGAAAGTAATAATTTTGACTTAATTACAACTTAGCTAAGAGTAAGGACACTCAACAAATTATTGCAAAAACAAAGAAAGGAAAACGACAAAAAAAAAAAAAAAACAAAAAAAAACAAAAACCACAAAAATAAAAATAAACGAAAATAAATGTGAAATTTAAATGATAAATTATTACGTAGAGCGAATTTTTTAGATAATTGTTGTTAATAATTGTGTGTACTTATAATAATTATATATACATATATAAATTTACTGTATTATGAATATACATATATATTTTGATGCGTGCGATTTTTTCCGCTTAGTTTACTTATTTTGGAAAATTTACCTTAATTTTTGACAAGAAAAAAGTCACACAAACAAAAACCAGCTAACGATAAATATATCTATGTATATTCCACACACAGTTTTAGTGCATAAGTTTTACCAAAAGTATAGGCCAAGCCAGCATCAATCAAAGCACTCGACAAACAGCTGCCAATTGGCACTCGAGCACGGTCCAGAGGCAGGTGAAAAAAGAATGAAAAAGGAAGGTGGGTAAACCAAAATGAGAGAGAAAACTAAAATCCACTTACAGTTGGCAAGCGACCTCGCCTCGCCTCCCCTGCGCCCGCCTTGAACACATGTCATACTTGTGCTCGTGCTTGTCCAAGGGCTGCACGGATTATGCAGAGGCGTGTCCTAAAAGGGGACTTAAGCAGAGACAAATTGAGAACAAATATTATTTAAAAAAAAAGGGAGAGTCTACAGCTTTTGATGATGTTTGATCTAAATGTGCTTTAAATGATTATATATGTATCTACTTTCAAAAATTTGGAAAATCGGCTTTACATTGATTTAAACTATTTTCAAGGTGCTATCGCTATTATAAATACTTGAAGCCAACTATTGGTAAGAAACAATTTTTGTTTTCAATTTGAAATTTTGATTTGCCTCCCCAACAAAAAAGAGCTATAGAAAATCAACGTTTCACAGGAAACATTTAACTAAGCTTTTAATACAAAATGAAAACGCAGAAAACTTTCGTATGTAAATCTATTAAAAGAAAACTCCAAAAACAATAACAATATAACAAAAAATATATATGTATGTTATAGAGAACTGTGCGATGCAACAAAATGCCAAGTAAAGAAAAACAAATATCGTATAAACTTATATATTATATATCTTACTTATGCTAATTCTTAAGATGGATTATCAGATGATATACATACGACAACAGCTTCAGAGAGAACTTTCTCAAAACACGATACCGAAAACATTATTAACTATACCTATAAACTACAACTAACTATAAATATATACATATACCTAAATATATATATATATAAATAAATATATATATACATATATGCATCTATTTATATAGATACCACAAACAATACATATATATGTCAAGCAAAAATTCTATGATATGAAAAACGGTGTTTTAATAAACTATTGATAGATTACAATCTCAAAACACACAACATATTTGTTTATACTATTGTAGTTGGATCTTCAAGTCCTCTGCATCTACACATTGCCTTGCTCCCGATTCTGCTCCTCAAGCAATTCATTCAACTTTTGCAGCAACGCATTAATACCAATTATATTCGAATTCATATCGGGAATCAGTTTGCCATTTGAATTCAAAACAGACTGTTGCTGCTCCGGCGTCGGCATTGCGCCGTTAACTACCTCATCTATATAGTCCATAGTGTCTTTGATCTTCAGGCAATGGCTGTTTCGTAAAAAATAAATGTGTTAGTTTTTCGAAAAATACGTAAATCCATATATAGATGCTAAATCGGAGTAGGGCAACAAATGGTACGAGCTGAGTCTTAGTAGAGTAGATGGATGATTACGTGACTGGGCTACAATGTAAGACCAGTCTAGAAGAAGGTAGTGTTCTCTAATCTGAATTCTGTCTTTCTTCTAAACATACAAACATTACCATAAGATATTAGCCTTTGTGTTAAAGCCAACAGAGAGACGATTAAATACAAAATGCGACAAATCGATGCCCTATATATTTCGTAAAAATTGCTGATCAGACTCAGATACGGGTTAACCAATGATACGGTTATTTACTTAGTGAATCTATTTCCCAAATTAAAACATTATCTTATTCATAAATTATATGGCTAATACTGTTGCAATAATTGCTCAACTATGTATATATATATAATATATTCTAAACTTGAGATATCTCAGATAATATTTGCCCTCATACCTTTCAGATGTCTTGTAAGGAATGTATACACATAAAAGTAACGATGGCAACAGCCATCATTGGTAAATCGGTCAAATAATACTCTAACTATATAAGCTGTACATATACACCTTACCATTTGGGCATCTCGTAGTCCTTGGCACTAAAATTCCTCCACTTGCAGCTGTCCAAATGCCAAGCGAGACAAGACACTTGCAATCGACCCTTGCGCCTAACAATTTTAGTAGCACGCTGCGGATTTACCACAGGCACATCCTCCAGGTGCCAGGTGAAGAGCTTTTTCACCTGCTGCTCATCGCTCTCTTGATGGTCTCCGTCATCCATTTGCTCGGACTGGAATTTGTGATCGACGGCGTTTGGTTCGTAATGCGCATAGTCGTTAAGTCCAATAGATGAAAGCATATCGCATAGGGATGGCGTTTTCCGAATGCTTCCGCCACGTCCGAAATGTCGTTTAAGGAAGCCTATGCCCTGGCTGGCGCAATCCGTGCAGCAGCGACAGACCGTGGAGCCCATGCTACGAAAAACGAACCCGGACGGATTGTTGATCAGAAAACGCGTTGAATTATTGGCATACGTGATGTGCGTTTGGCTGAGGATGTTACGAAGGGGTATTACTGCAATACGAATAGCAAGATCTGTTGACGAATTCACTTACCACTTGTTGATGTTAACATTCAATTTGGTAATGCACCCAAACGACATGGTCGCTCAATTGGAATTTTATAAGAATACTGAAATACCAGTAATTTTTGTAAAAAATGCTAGAAAAAGAACGCAAAAAACATTTAGATTAAGGACACTAAATACACGGACTACTCGAATAATAAAACCAGAGCCAAAACAAAAAAAAAAGGGGAAAATTCTTTCAACTACAAATTTATACAGAGACGGATCAACTACGCCCTAAAGTAGGCCTCCTCATCCAGTTTTTGCTGATAGGCCAATCGCTGCAATATGGTTGGATGCGTATGATGCCAGCGAGCATAGCAGGTATCGTAGACCGGGAAGCTCATGTGGTCGGCATAGATTTTCATGAGCGCCGAGCGCAGCAGCAGAGAGTAGCCTAGTCGATGGGCGAATCGATCTGCGGCATATTCGAAGCGTCGTAGATTCCACAGCATCAGGAAGTTGGCCAGCGTCAGATATGGCGTCAGTGCAAATCGCAGCACGATCAAAAAGCCGACAATAATTGGCCAGACACCCGGGGCAAAGCCAACCGCCTCATACAGGTACGGGCAGTGAAAGAACAAGCCAAAGAGGACCATCGTCAGAAGGAAATGCAGTTTCATGATGAATGTGGCCTTGTAGAAGTGTCCGCTCTTCCAGTGGCCCAGCTCGTGTGCAACTACGGCGACCACCTGGGGATTGGTCAGCCCACGTCCAATCTCATACGGCTGCAGCTGCGTGACCGGCTGTCCCTTGTTGAGGAGCAACGTATCGAAGATGACGATGCGCTTCAGGCAGCAGCTGCCGTAGAAGTAGGCATTGCTGTACTGCATGGACTTGGTCCGAATGATGAACACCCGATTCATGGGGAATCCCGTCTGATCGCAAACGACCTGAACATCCGCATAGAGGGGGCTCCCGGGCGGCAATCGACGCTGGACACCAATGCAAGGCACACACAGATAGGGCAGAAAGAAGACGAGGAACAAGGTAAAGCCGGCCCACATCAGCCAGAAATACAGAAAGAAAAAGAATCCCATGATCTGGACACTGAACACAATCAAAAGGGTGAGCGGGGCCAGGATTATCTGAGCTAGGATAATGCACACTACGCCGATTAACAGGTACATATAGCAAGGAAACCGTCGTTGCGTTCCATATCTCAGCTCCAAGATGCACTTATCGTATATCAGGACGGGCAGGCAGCGCAGCGATATATATATAGTTAGGTAGAATACAAAGATAAGGCTAATCCACAGCTCTCGGCCTGTTAGGGGGGCCAACGTGCTAGCGGCCAGCCCCCAGACAAATGGATAGAAGCCAAAATATAATTCCAATAGGCTAACGATCAAATCGATGATATTTTTCCATATAAAGAGCTCCATTTTGTGCAATTCATAGACGCGGGCGCGATGAAAGATCTCCGGCGGTATAATATCTCTTAACGGGTCCGGCACCATGATGGCATTCAGGCAGGTCAGTTGCTACTGGACGAAAATACGATTCAGTTGAATGATTGATTGAATGATCAGCGTTGAGAGCTCCGCCCTCGCTCACCTGTCGCTTGGCCAATATTATTTCCCAAATGTGGTCGAGGAACAGCACCACCATCATCAGATAGAGCAGTATTCGCGGGTCTATCTTCGGCCAAGTGTCGTAGGATACCATCGCTCAGGATATGATCATGTTACCAAACCAATGTAAACAATAGAATAACAAATAAATCAACAATCGGCAAATAGAAATAAATATATCTATTCCATTATACATCCGAAAGTGGCAGTTGGATTTGAATATACACATGTATTCGTAGCTAGCTATGTTTTTTTTCTGTTCGTTAATAATTCCAATTTTACGTTCGGTTTCTTTCGAGTCGCTCCAAGCGCTGCAAGCGATGCAGCATCGTGGGATGCGTGTGGTGCCAGCTGGAGTAGCAGGCGTCCGACAGGGGGAATGTGAGGTTGTCCGCATAGAGCTTGAGCAGCGCCATGCGCAGGTGCGCCGCATAGCCCAGCTGGAAAGCGAACTTGTCCGCCTCGTACTCGAATTGTCGCGTCATCGTGAGCATTAGCACATTGGAGATGGTTAGATAGGGCGTCAGCAGAAAGCCAAAGATTACGATAAAGCCCACTATAACCGGCTGGACGCCCACATCGAACCCAACCGCCTGGTAGATGGGCCCGTGCGAATAGCAGATGACGAACAGCACGAGCGTGATCAGCAGATGCAGCTGGAACATGACAATGGCCTTATAGAAGTGGCCGCGCTTCCAATGGCCCAACTCGTGGGCGACCACAGCCAGGACATGTTCGTTCGGCAAACCCTTGCCCTTCTCCTCCGGTGGCAGCCGAGCGTCGCTGGCCAATCCCCGATTCAACAAGAGCGTATCAAAGATCACAATGCGCTTCAGGCAGCAACTGCCAAAGAAGAAGGCATTGCTGCCCATGCTCGGGTCTCGGACGTGTATAATGTGCACATAGCGCATTGAGAAGCCGACGCGACGAGTGAGCTCTTCGAGACCCGCTTTCAGCGCCTGGTTCTCCAACTGCACACGCTGGCCAACGAAAGGATCAATTGCTAAGGGGATTATCAAAATGATCATCACGGTCAGCAGCACGGCCATCAGGTAGATGCCCACGAAGGCGTACTGATTGAAGGCGTTCACCATGGACACGACCACCGCAACCATTGTGGCCATGAGCAGCAGTGAGCAGCAGATGTCCACCAGCTCCATGACAATGCGCTGCGACCAACTGCGCTTCGGCTGCTTTACCAGTTTGGTGATGCAACATTTCTCATAGATTTTGCCCGGCAGCGACTTAACCAATATATAAAGGCTGAGAAAGATCAAGTAGACGAATGACATCCAGATCTCGTGCTTCATCCACGACCAGATGGCGCACCTGGCAACCAAATCCCAAAGCAGTCCGTAGAAACCAAAATACAATTCAAGGCAGCCAGAAATGACGACCACAATCAGCGTATTGACTATGATGAACCAGCTCTTGTGCAGCTTATATCTGCGCATTCTCTCAAACAGCTCCTGGGATAAATACGGCCGCAACACCTCCGGCACTTGGCTCGCACCATAAACCATTTTAATCTACAATAGGGATGTCAGAATATAAAGAGGCACTGGTAGTTCGGTTGTTTACCTCGCGTAGGATCAGGTAGAGGTTCCACAGATTATCCACCAGGAGAATGATCATTAGACAGAGGAGTATTATAGCGGGATCATTCCACAGCTGGACAATCATTTTACCTTAAAGATATCTGACATTTTACCCAAATACATTTGATATCCACATTTTGGAATTTTGTTGTTTTTTTTTTTGTTTTTTGTTTTTGTTTATTGGTCAAGTCGGCTATCGCTTGCTTTATTGAAATCTACACAATATACAACTAGACAAGGAGAGAGAGGGACTACTACGATACGGATACGGTTTACAGAATACAGCGAAAGAGAGTGAGGGAGAAAGACAGTGAGAGGGAAGCTAAATGCTTTGGTCTACAGTCTCGCACTTGAATGCGCGGCCAAAATGCCCACCTCGTAGTTTACTGCACCTTCTTCTGCGACTGTCCCAACTGTTTAAGGCGTGCCAAGCGCTGCAGCAGTGTTGGATGCGAATGATTCCAGGTGGAGTACAGCCAGTCATAGATGGGGAAGCCCAAATTGTCCAAGTTGAGCTTGATCAGAGCACGGCACAATTGTTGCTCGAAGCCAAGCTTGTGGGCAAACTCATCCGCCTGATACTCGAAGCGACGCGACAATATTGTCATGGCAAAGTTGATGATGGCATTGTAAGGTGCCATCACGTACGTGAAGATGATCAGTAGACCAACGAGTATGGGTCGTGTGCCCGGTGGAAAGCCCAGTGCCTCATAGAACGGCGCATACTTAAACAAGTAGCCAAAGACAAGAAACATAAGGAACAGATGGACCTCCATTATGATAATATTCTTGGTCACATGTCCCAGCTTCCAGTGGCCCAGCTCATGGCCAAGCACAGCCAGCACCTCCTCGTCCGTGCAGCCCTTGCCCTTCTCATCGTCGGTCAGCTCCGAATCGTCAGGTTTCCCTTTGTTCAGCAGCAGTGTGTCGAAGAGCACAATCCGCTTCGAGTTCCAAAGCCCATAAAAGTAAGCATTGCTATGCGAAGAACGTTTCGAGCCCTCCACAACATACAGCTTGGTCAATGGAAACTTGAGCGAGGCAGCCAAATTCTCGATGGACTGACGCAGTGGGCCCTCCTCCAGGGGCGTGTACTTATCGAAGAGCGGCGCAATGAAGATCGGATAGAGGGTGAGCAGTACCAGGGAGATGACACCGGCGAACACCCAAAGCCAAATGAAGAAATTGTCGCCACCGCGCTGCACAATAAAGATGATAGCCGCTGTGATGGGCAGCATCACAATCTGGGTAACCAGGAAGCCCTTGACCTGATCCCAGGCAAAGAAACCCGCCGTTTGCTTATTAAAGCCATGCTTTTCCTCCAGCACGAAGATCTTGTAGATCTTAAATGGCAGCGATTTGAATGTGGACAACACATTCGAGATGAGCACAAAGACTAGGCTGACAATAATTTCATTGCTCGAATCCCATTGCAAACGTTCGACCACATCCACTGACATCTGCCAGAGCAATGCGATCAATCCAATATACAGTTCCAGGCAAAGAAGCAGTACGTCCATCACCACGGCCTTAAAAATTCCAAAGTTCTCCCCATCCAGGCCATACTTGCGCGCCTTATGGAACGTCTCCGAACTCATATGGGCCTGCAGCTCAGTGGGCACAGTCAACGCATTTCGGTACACTTTCACCTGTGAGAACGAAAAATGCAATATATCTAATATCAACAGTGTCTCTGGCAAAGCAACGAACTCGGCTGGCATTTAACGCGCTAAATATACATACATATACCATACACTTAGATACTATACCTTGTAAAATACATAGGCAAAACATTAATTGCCGCCTTGAACGCTGGCACGTGCCGGCATTTTATTTATGACTCACCTGGCGATAGGCTATATAGATTTCCAGAGCATTCTCAATGATGACTAATGCCAAAATGCTGTACAGCACATCATCAGCCTCTAAAATGGACATTTTAACCTGAATTTCATAAAATTAATGTAGACGTATATACTTTAACAACGCCGCACTCTACGGCTTGCACGTAAAGCCTCAAAAACAGTGCTATAAAGCGTTCAAATATCTTGTATCGATTGTACAGAAAAGTCATCGATTACTTTACACGGAATTGCATAGATGTTTATTTTCCTTTTTGAAAACAAAAATCGGTTTCTTTTAGTTTCAAAACAATTTATTTAACTATGACTAGCGTATTTGCACGTTAAAGGCCTCTACACTGGCGTCGGCTATGTGTTTATGTATCTCATTTACTTCAGCCTGAGTTAAGGTGCGTTCCATATGCCGATAAACAATGCGAAAGCAAAGGCTGGTTTTGCCCGTTTTTGGATGCTTGAATTTGTCCACCAAGCTTATCTGAAAAAGAGTAGAATTAATATGTCATCAAATGTAAAATTAAATTTGCGCACCTGCTCCACCACGTCCCCAGCAATAGTGCGCGCTAGATCATAAAAATCATTGGCTGAGAATCCAGCATCGATTTCCACATTGGCTGGCAGCCAAAAGGACAAATCATTTGAGCATTGCGGATAATGTGAGATAGGTTTGTATTTGGGCAGATTTTGTAGATCCTCTTCGCTAAACTGAGACAGAAAGCCGCTATCGTTCGACCAAAACAGTCGAATGTCCGGAATATCGAATAGAATCATAGCCAATCGCTCCAGACCCACTCCAAAGGCATAACCAATTGACTGATGAACGCCAGCCTTTTGCAGAATCTCGTGGCGCATGATGCCACAACCGAGCACCTCCAACCAGTTGTCCTTGAAATAGATCTCCAACTCCCACGAGGGCTGTGTAAATGGAAAATACGTGTCCACCCAGCGATACTTGATGCGGGGTCCAAAGAGATCCTTCGTAAGACCCACCAGGACGTGCTTCATTTCGTGTTCCATCAGCTTGACAGCCTCTAGAGTGTGACACGGCTGCTTTGTCTGATCCATGCACTTGGATGAGGGCAAAATGCGTTTAGGATCTGCTAGCGAACCACTCCACGTCTCCTCAAAGAGCTCCAGCCCAGGATTACGTTCGAACAGCTTATCCTTAGTGACAAGACGCACTGCATCGGCCTGATGGAACACTGGGTAATGTGTGCTATCGATCTCATCCCGTCTATACACCTCACCGACAACCAAGAAGTTATCCAGTCCACCCGAAATCAGCTCCACTTGATGCGCCGTCGTATGGGCGCGCAACAAATGCTCCCGATTCACATAGTAGCAGTCCGATTTCTGTCGACTCACATGATCAATGGGTATGAGTAGATTGTCGAAGTTCTGTTGCACCGTGACTAATGGACTAAGTTGGTCATAGACGGAAAATAAAGGATTGCCACGCTGATTGCGATAGGCACCATAGAAATAATTGACAATACGCTGTCGTATTATCGACAATGGATGATCACGCTGCAGATGCTTATTTAAACCCAGATGTGAGAGTATCTTCGGGGTCACATTCGTCCAGCTGTCTGTGGGGTACGTGTTTCCATTGATTTCCAATTGCAAGGGGTGTTGTGTTGTCTGTCTCTTAGCTTCCTCGGGTGCGGTGCTGGCCAAGAGGCGACGATGCTGTTGGCGGCCCAAACATAGGCGGGATCTCGGCACACGCAGCGTTAATAACATTCTTTCAGGCTTTTTTATTTATGTTTTTATTAGCTAGCACAATATTGCATTATATGTATTATAAAACAACAGCTGTTTTGTATCGATACGCGTTCGATCAAAATATATCGATTAATTTGTATATAAATCGAGTGTGTCAGGGCTACAGACATATAAATTCCTATCAGCTGTTGACATTTTAATGTTCAACGATTATATGTAATCAATCAAAACTCGAAATGTTTAGTGATAAACTAATGTTCTCAATAAAAAACTTATAAAACTTTAGCTTTTCCAACAAAATATCATATAACCAATAAAATGCATAAATTTAAATAAAAAGTTTTCGTTCTCCGTTAGTTCTATCATATTATGAAACATTCATATTTTATAATATATAGGTTTTTATTTCATACAAAACATCAACATTGTAATATGCCTAATTTGTATCAATATTTAAATGGCAAATCATACAAAAATTAATGATGAGTTTTACAGCTAATTAATTATGCCCATTAAACTATAAACGTTTACTTCTGAGATGCTGCATTGGGATATAAAAGGTAATTTGTTTGTGATTAAATTAATTAGGTTGAGCGTCGATGCAAGCACTTTTATCGCAAATATAAATTCTCCTAGACCAGAGGATAGCTAGAAGCGGAAGCAATGCCGCACTGGTTGTCCTCATTGCGAGCCATCTTAATGAAGCCCTTGTCTCCCCAAGTGGTGCCCCACGAGTTCTTGACCAGCCAGTAGTCCTTGCCGCTCTCATCGGTGCCGTAGCCAACAACGAGGACACCGTGATCGAGATTCTGAGAATTGCATTCTGGTTCATTGTAGATGCCCTCAGAGTAGAACTGGAATGACTCATGTGATGCATCGATGGCCACTGAGACAGGTCCAATGGTAGCCACAGCCTCCGCCAACTTTTTTTCATTGCCTTGTGGGATGTCGACGAAGCCGCGATCCGTGGCACCAATGGTGTCCTTGTTGAAATGGCAGGAGTCATCAATGCCCTCATATGCATACGATTTCTCGGTATCAATGCCACCATTATCCTTGATGTAACGGAAGGCGTTGTCCATCAAGCCTCCGTTGCAGCCATTGTTGCCATATTTGGTGGAGCAATCTACCAGATTCTGCTCGGAGAGCGAGACCAAAGTGCCCGTCTTACGGAAATGCTGACCCTCTAGGGCGCCAGTACTGGAGAAGGCCCAACAGCTGCCGCAATGTCCCTGATCCTTAACTTCGGTAACGGCTCCCTTCTCACGCCAATCTACTGCCTTTGGCAGCTTAACATGCGCCGGAGAGATGAACGTAATGCCAGTAAAGCTGGGATCGGAAGCGCTACTGGGATTGACGTACTTATAAATCGAGTCTTCTCAAGATTGGCTGTCATACTTACCGCAGCTCCTTGTGCAGCGTGTAATTGAATCCGTTCAAGGTCTCGCGGAACTCATGATGCAGCATATCCGCATACTTGTTAACGGCCATCTTAAAGGTAACCTCGCCTGCGGCATAGCGTTGGTTGTGTTTTGCAATCTTGTGCTTGTTCTCGTTGAAGATCTTCAGGCGGAAGCGTTCCTCAGTCTCATCTTGATAAGTCTTGCGATGCTCCAGCTGCAATTAGGGAGAGTGTAAACACACATTTATACTATTACGCTTATCAGAAATACTGTTATCAGGACTTGTTATTGGCTTTATACCTATTCTCCACACCAGCCAGCGATTAGATAGCGCCGTACACACACAATCGAATGAACATGCCGAAGTTCAGGTTTACCTAACCAAAGCATCAATTCATATTCTGATTCTGATTCAGACTCAATTTCACAGATTCGATTTATTGCTCTTGCAATGAGATAAGCCTCTGACAGCTGTCTTTATCGCCAAGCGGACAAAAGGTGCCACAAAACCCAGTAGCTAAGGCCAATAAAACCCGTTAACGCCATAAAACTAGCCATAAAAATATTAACGAGTCAATTCGGTCTGAAGTTGTTAAAAATGTTATAAAGAATAGTAAAAGTAACCAAGAGAATAAAGATGGATGTTTATGTAAGCGAAACGGACTACGGATTAGATTGTAGCATACCCTTAAAATGGTATTCACTCTGAAATGTTTTCGTATATGTACATATATGAAATTCGGTTTAACCAGTGAAAATAGACAATAACCTAGACCTATTCCACAATATTTATAGAGAATTAACGCAATGTTCATTTAGTATTGTCAGTATTCATTCATTCTGCTACCTACCTATAAAGATATATTCACATATAAAAGAACTCATTATTATGCCAAAGCCGTCGATCTGAAATCCTCTATTACGACTACTGCTCGATCTGTATATACTGAATACAGAAAATGAAAACTCATATACCCTAGGGCATCGACAGAATAACGAACATTAATTTGATATACCAGAAAATTCACCAAATGCATTCAAATAAACTGGTCAAACAGGCCGCCCAGCCCACATACATATATCGCATAATTATAGCTGACATGGGAGCAATTGACGCCCTGACCGGATGGTAATCATAATGATGATGACGATGACGATGATGATGATGTTATTGGTGACTCTCTTTATAAGCATGTTGCTCTTGTTGTTGGATGACTGCCTGCGATAAGCGCTCGGTCATAAACTGTTTTTGTTTCTTCTCTTGCATATAATTGATATGATTGCTGGAAATTTTCTACTGTGAGACCTTCCAGCGGAGAAGGGCAAAGAGTCAGCATCGTAAACCCACCTATTGATTTTTCGCACATGCAAAAAACAATTTTAACATTTTTCATTTATTTATTTGTATTATTAAACAAATTTACACATTAAAAAAGAGACTTGGCGAGTCCGTAAAAAGTTAATAGAAAAATCAACGTAGGAACAGTAATTAAATGCACACGCCTAAACATCCATAGATAAAATCATGATAAACGACTGTTTGCACTTCGTTTTTTGTTTTTCTATTATCCATTTCTCAATGACATTTGCTGTAAATATACAGTTACTGAGTATCCGAGGCTACTTTTGTACTAAAATTAGTATTATTTGTTACATGCTAAGGCAACACTGGCTGGCGGAGTTTGGCCGCTAAAGTCGCTCCATTTCGATTGGACAGCTGCGATCCGTGCAGGCCGATGAGGTGGTCGGCCCATCAGCAGCTGCTGGTGCGGCATTAGCTGCTGCTGCTTCTATTGTATTGGCAGTGCGCTCTGTTAAGTATTGGTATTCTTTACGTTTACGCATTATGATGCGCAGCACAAAGCAGTTGACCACACAGAGCACGGCTATGAACAGAACGGGCACCACTACGTCCACAATAATGTGCAAATCACTGGCGGAGCTGGCCATAACTTTACGTGTTTTATATAATTTAATAATATCCGTAATTTTTTATAGTTCTGCTTGCATTAGCACGTTTTTCTGAATGACGCGCGTGCTTTCCTTTAATGTCTCTTAACGGGTAATTCTCTCTCTCTCTCTCTCTATCAATAGCTCCGTCTCGCTCGCTCTAATTCTGATTTCAGCGCGCGCGCGGTTACCCTCTCTGATTACTCTCTCTCTCTCTCTCTCTTTGTTTGCACTCTAGCGCTCGCTCGTAAGTGCTGCGTCTGCTTACGTCGAGCGTCGGGTGGGTAATATCAAAAAATGTCCGTATGCCTGTTTTAGTACGTAGCGCTGCTACCGCGCGCACACACACACACGCTCATGTCCAAAAATAAGGCATACATGTGTATGTGCGTGTGGCACATGAAATGCTTTTCGTGTTTTTGTACACACAGTCAAATAGATGTTCCCCAGTGTGTGTCAATGTTTGCAAGCAGATATGTACATGTACATATGTATTGAAACCGTTTCGAGCGAACCTGTTTGTTGCGTATAAAACCGTTGATTTATTAGGATATTCATGCATGTGTGTCTGTAAAGGCTACTCTCACGTCAACACACACATACTCTTACAGTACTAATCGCCCACTTGCTAATTTTACTTTGCTCTCCGTTTTCGTACAGTTTGCAAAAACAACAGCAACAGCAACAGCACAGCACAGCACAAAACAACACAGCATAGCAATAACAAACATTAAACCAAGTGATAAGCTAGTCACACGCCATTTCGCGAAACTCTGACGCGCTTTAACTTAGCATTGTTGTTATTCTTATTATTTGTTTTGCGCATAAATTGAGATGTCAATTGAATGGAATCAAATGAAAAAAAAAAAGACAACATTCGACAGTGTTTGGGGGGCCGCATTCACACGCTTATCGCAATACTTTCGGTTCAAAGTTCTTCGCGGCCTGGCATTTGTTTTCGCGTTCGACTTGTCGAGTTGAATGTGAAAAACCAAAATAAACACAGTGTGCTAATTAAATTGATATGTAACTGTTGCGCATTCTGTCCGCACTGTACAGCACTGGAGAAGTAAATGGCGCGCAAAAGTAGGCAGCACTTTTTTTTTGAAATTTTTATCAAGTAGCAGTTGGCGCCAAGAATCGAAGTGCGGCAGTTGCCAAATCCAACACTTTTTCAGTTCTTGATAAGAACGTTACTATAGTCAAGAAAACAGGCAACAAATTCTACAAGCAAGTAAAATAAATATTTATTTTATAAATAAATATGTAAATTCCATTTTTGCGACGCTTAAAAGTAGGCATTAGTGCAATATTGAATTTAAGTGAAATTGCAGACAAGAATTATTAGGTTATGCAAACTTTGAAGAGTAACTAAATTATTTGTTAAGAACAATTGAAATTCTTAAAACTGATATTGGCTAGATTTTTAGTTTTTTTATTTTTTATTTAGAGCTTCAAACTCGACGAAACGGAATATTTCTACTAAATAATATTCGCGATGATTAAATTTAGTGGTTAGTTTTGAAAACAACATCCACGTCTTCCAGAGATTTCTTTTGTTTATTTATAATTTTCATGCACTCGCAACTATGATCCAGTTCTGGTCTAGACAAAGCTGAAAACCTTTTGAAGCGTTTCATAGCTGATAAGAGTGGGCACATAACATTTATTGCAAGTGGGAGCTGATAAGCTGATTAAGAAGAGTTCAAAGCGCTCTACGACGTAAAACTAGCCCAGGACAAAGACAAAGAACCAACAAATTGAAAAGTAATAATCAATAAACAAGAACGCAAGACAAATATGCACATACATATGTATGTGAATGTAAATACGAATGAATAATGAGTCAGCATTGGAGCGCTTAGTGTCAATTGTTAAGAGTTGAATGTGTTGGTCGAATTGAATTGGCTGGCTATGCGTGTGGCTTATCATCGATCGATGCCAGGCACAAGCCGGAACGCGCGCTTATCAATGACTGGATGGTCTAACGGTACTGCCAGGCCAGGCCACTGATAAAGAGATTTATGTCGGCATCTCATGTGACGGCTCAACTATATTGAGTCTGTCATGTGAGCCGGCATGTAATCAGCTTGACTGCAACATTAATTGCAATAATAATAATAGTAAAATTAATAAAATGAACCATTATTATTAGTGGCAAATGAGTCAACGGTCAGAAATGCATTGAAACAAAAATAAAGCGGAAGAATGTCTCCAAAAACCTAAGTAACAAAGGCATTAATCATACAACCTGCAGTTGACACCTGTTACGAACACAGTTGCTTCTAAATTCGAGCACCTTCTTTTCTTTCCTCCATTCTCGGATTACTAAATTCCAACTTCCTCTGTTGCCAGCGCTCGTCACCGCATAACACATTCCATGTCTATTCCCTATTCTTTTTCAATGAACTGTTTAATTTTGCATTACTTACCTTGAAGGTGTGCCACTCCTCTTTGATAACATCAGCAAAGGAAACGGCCTGAGCCACAGCCACCAGGGCCAATAGAGCGTAAAGAGTGCGCATTTTAGCTGAAATTAAAAATGAAAATCAGTTAACATATTTAAACATTTCTAATTGAGCTGAGCTTTCAAACTTAACGTCTACTCGTCACGTGATGAGCTTTTTACAAACCTATCAGTGAGCTAGAGATGAGTAATCACAACTGTGACTGAGTCACTGTGAACATTCGTACTGTGACCAGTTGTACATCAAGCTTATATCTCATTACATTTCCTTAAAATTATTATTAAATGGAATTCACATGCACTTTCGTTTTCCATGAATAGCAAGAAAATTTGTCTACGTAAAAATAAAATTGTATTTCAAATGATCAAAAAGTTTACTTTTATTTTTAAATTATAAATTTGAGCTGTCAATTTAATTAAATCACGGGAAGCCATCAGCACCGGTAACAGTGATTGTTAAGTATCAATAATGTGCATTTTTGGCCCACACCCACACACATACATACATACATACATATACACACGAGAAAGAGAGAGAAACAGCAAGCTTCACAGCTATTGTACTAACAAACAAGTATGGACAGAGCTGAATTTCATCAGAAATAAAAAACAAACAAAAACAACAACAATAATAATAAATATCAAGGGAGTGCAATGATAAATTTGCAGAGTTGGCATTTTTTGTCGATAACATGATCCATAAACATCAGCCGCAGGCACCAGATGCTCTGTGGGGGCGGATTTGCTTACAGAGCAGATAGAGAAAATAAGTAAACGACAGCAATGAGAATTCCATCGAATTCGCTGAAACCGAATGCGAATTCACAGTTTAGTTTTTGCTCACACACACAAAAACATTTGCCGTTATCTTATCGGCCATTCGCCTTTGTATTTGTTTTGTGCGTTTTATATTATTATTATTTTCTATAGCACTAGACATACAAATTGTGGCAAGGTTGAGGGCAGAAACTGGTTTTGCAGTCTGTCCGCCAGGTGAATTAGCAAACACACAAATGCTCCGAAAAAATAGGGTAAAGAAAGAAAAAAAAGAGATAAGATAGACGGAAAATAGGCCACAGCAAAACGTGAAGCAACAGCTGAAAACAAAATGCGCAAAAGCAGCAGCAGCAGCAACAACAAAATGTTGGCAACGCAATAAATAAAGACGCCAAAGGGTTAATCAGATAAAAGAAATGCAATAGGCAGAATAAGAATAGAAGAGATGCTGCTGGAACATGCCAGACAAAGACGAAAGTTGGGAAATTAACAAACAATGGCGACATTATTCGTCTTCATGCTTATGAAAATAAGTGCGTCATGCATTTGTTTTAACAAATAAACAAAAGGTTTTTTTTTAAATACAGAAATGGAAATACGAACACATTGACAATGATTATGCGGAAATAAATTGTGTTCTTACCACTTGCGTTGGATGACAAACAATTCGCGATTTATTGCGTTTTAAGTTTCGCGTTTGAACAAACTGCTAGCTTCAGATCTAATTTAATGAGTATATAAAGCTTTTTAAAATTAAAAGTTACTAATTCCTTGCGAGCTCCTCACTCGAACACTTTTCGGTTTTAAATAAATTCAGATGCGTTTTGTTGTTGCGAAGAAATCTCACACACATATATATTAACTTTGATGCGTTATGGCCACACTGCTAATCATACTGAGGCTGCCAGACTGTTGAAATGATTTGTACCCTTAATGTGCAAAATATTATTGTCTATAAACCTGTAAATTAGTTAGTAAGTCCAACATACAAAGTAAAATTCGTTCGTTCATACAACAAAAAATTGCAATATTATAAAATAATAATTTACAATAATAAATAAAAATAAAATCAACAATGATCGTAGAAATTTGGGAAAATTCACATCAATGGAAATTAGGTACTTTTATGTGACAGCTTTAACTTTTGAAATGCGTAAAATATGTTTTACTCAAAGGGAGCTGTTATAACAATGTCATTGACATTGTCAGCTCTAGGTTTAATATCGAGCTGCTCCCATCACTAGCAAAAGGTGTCAAAAACTGCTCGTCATCCGCAGAGCAGGCGATTTTTCTTTAAAGAATTACCAAATTTGTATTTATTCCCACACATTATATATCCAGTGAGTGTGCGAAAAGCAGTAGAGCCGAAACCAACTTAACGCCCAATACAATTGCAGCTTTCGAGAAGTGCCCGCATAATGTTTGGCAGGCAAAGCGGTTTGGGCAGCTCCAATAGCTCCAATCTTGTGGAATTTCGTGCTGGACGCATGAATATGGTTGGCAAAATGGTTCATCCAGATGCTCGCAAGGGCCTCGTCTACATGACCCAGAGCGACGACGGCTTGATGCACTTCTGCTGGAAGGATCGCACCAGTGGCAAGATCGAGGACGATCTCATCGTCTTCCCTGACGACTTCGAGTACAAGCGCGTGGATCAATGCAAATCGGGTCGCGTCTATGTCCTGAAATTCAAGTCCAGCTCCCGTCGCATGTTCTTCTGGATGCAGGAGCCCAAAACCGACAAAGACGACGAGCACTGCCGTCGCATCAACGAGCTGCTCAACAATCCGCCCTCCGCCCACCAGCGTGGCGGCGGTGGCAGCGGCAGCGAGGGCACCGACTTGCAGTACATGCTGAACAATATGTCGCAGCAGCAGCTGATGCAGCTGTTCGGCGGAGTTGGCCAAATGGGTGGACTTAGCTCGCTGCTCGGTCAAATGAAGTAAGTACAAATCGGATAACTGAAAATAAATACTTATTCATAATATATATAGTATGTACATATGTGAGCAGCTAGGCAGCTTTAAGAAACAGGGCAAGTGAATCGGTACATTTAAGACAGTGGAAACGGGACACACTCTATCATTCAAAAACAAAATGGAAACGGTACAAAACGTCGCGACGTTTGAGACAGTGGGAGCTGCAAAAAAATCTAGAAAGTCTGCAATATAAAGTACATATATTAAATTTGTTATATATAGGAGGAAGGGTGGAAGGATTTTATATATAGAAAATTTACATATATTGGACCACATATACATATATGAACGTAAAAACGTTAGTGTATCGCATCAAATTATGCATTCGAGTATATATGTATGTATAGAGAATCGGAAAACAGGTTATAATTATAATAATTTTATGATTATTATGAAATATGTAAAAGTTTACCTTCTAAATCAATCTTCCAGAAAGTGTTTCTCTGTATATATTGTATAAGTTATATTATTAATTAGCTTACATGATTGGCTCTTAACGTCTGGGCATAGCAATTTACGAGCAGTTGGACAAGTAATAACGCAGAAGATTGTTCATCAATACACACTTGGCTGAACTATTTTGTTTTTAATGGAACAAATACAACTTAATTAAACTATCTTAATTAAGATAGAGTATATAGAGATATTCTCGATGTCCTAAGAAATACGCAGTATAATTCCTGCAAAGATGTACTAGAGTCGCGAACCATACCCGTTGTATAGGTCAAGTTATCATTTCGTTTTCCAATTATCGACCCTTTATTAAGATAAACTATGGAAAACGTAAATTGGATGTATTTATGTTTGTCGACAATCTACTATATACTATATATCGTTTATTATTAATTTCCATATAATTTATAATAATATAAGTAATATATATGATATATAAATGCTATGGATTATATTCCTTATAGTTGTATTATCATAAGTCCATATGAAAATTGACTAGGTACTGAATCCCATCTATAATCATATTGGTTCTTTTTCTCTTTGCAGCTCTCGCACGCCCTCGTCTCGCACGGCAGTGTCTTCGGGAGGTGGTGGGAGCGGCAGTGCCGGCCTGCAGACACCGGAGAACGTGAATGTGCCGCGCACAGTGTCCGCGCCAAGCAAGCCGAGCAAGTCGGGTGGAAATCGGAGCACCAGCAACAGTGCCGGCAGTGCTCAGAGCGATGCAGCTGGAGGCAGTGGAGGAGGGGTCGTAGGCGGCAGCTTGGCTGTCGATGCGGATGGATCCGGTAAGAAAAATGCGACAAATGCGACAGCAGCAGCAACAGCCAGCGGAGCTTATGCGAATCCATTCCAAGCCTATTTATCCAATCTCTCCCCTGAACATGGCGCAGGTCGTTCCCTAAATATCGACCTCTCGACCGCACTGTCCGGCGCCGAGGCGATTAATCAGCTGATTTCGGATCCGGAGCGTGTGAAATCGCTGATTGTGCATTTGCCGGAATCTGAAGATGCCGATGAGGATCGCAAGCAACAGATCAAGGATCACATCAGCTCCCCACAATTCCAACAGGCGCTCGCCCAGTTCTCCAACGCCCTCCAATCGGCTCAGCTGGGACCCGTGGTCAAGCAGTTCGAGCTGTCCCATGATGCAGTCGCTGCTGCCTACTCGGGCAATCTGGAGGAGTTCGTGCGTGCCTTAGAGAAGAGTTTGCCAGCGGGCGCAACTATGGCGGCCAACGATGCCACACCCACAGCCGCCTCCAAGGACACTTCCGCTGCTGAGAAGAAGGGCGAGGCAGAAGAGACTGCCGCCGCTCCAGCAGCTGCCGCCTCGGCCGACAAACCGGATGAGAAGCAGAAATAGCGCGCACAATACATAGATACATATATACACATATAGTCCACACACAGATATCTAATATACCTTCTATATAGGGCAGGCAAACCCACAAACACACACACACACACACAAAATGGAGACGCGATTAATCGTAATTCCCGAATTTGAAAAAATTCTACCCGAATCAATATCTTAATATTTTGCATATTTAATCAAGTTTTCGGTTCTAAAATAAATTGGCCATGCAAATGTTGCTATATACGCATTAAATACTATCTGAGTACAGTAAGGATTCGCTGAAACCAACGACGACTTTCATAAGTAAGTACGAACAAAAAGTCTTACTTACTAACATGCTCATTAGGTAGAATTATTGGTCTATAGTCCTGAGAGCGAGCCAAACTCTAAGAAAATATAGTTAAATAGAGATAAATTATTGATAAATAAATTTGTCTATTCATGGAAGAAATCTCTATTCGATAAAAGTTGTTTCCGTAGTACAGTTAAAAATTTTGATTAAGCAGCTGAGCCACCAGGTTTGTAAGCACAGTGTAATGTGGCTTGATTAAAGAAACGCAACTGCAGAGAGCTGAAAAATATTCGAAAATGATGCTCAAGAGAAAGCAATAGGCTACAGTTACGTACACCACCTTTTTTTTTCATCCGTATATTCAATATTTTATATAAATGTTGTAATATTCTACAGGTAATATTTCCTGAAATTATTAATCATTAGCCAGCTGTGAGTTACGTCGAGTAGGGTCTGTATGCGCCTTAAAGCGGCAAGTGCTGCCAGTCTGTTGCTAGAAAGAACCGTTAATCCGAAGTTGCACTTGACTTGTGTTATGATTATTTAGCGCACATACGCATACAAATGGCACGCACTGTGCTAGAGTGGCGCTCTCTCTTTCGCTGCACTCACGCGCCGTCGCTCTCTCGGCAAGCGCACACAGATACACACAAACACAACGAAAAGAGTGTGTGTGCATGGTTTGCGAATACTTGGCGCAGATATGTGTATTTATTCAACTTCAAACGGGCAAACCGCGCGTTCGCTAAATCGCTTGATTTTGATTTCGTATTTTGATCTCGGCAAAAAATATAAAAGCACAACAAACACTCGGTTTTACTGTGCAACTGTATGTGTAAAAAGTGCTGTATAGCGGTTAAATTTAAAAAATAGTTAAAACACGAAAATTTTGTTGCTGTTTTGCGTCGTAAGTTGTTGTTCTCTTGCTGCTTTCATTTTGCAGCAAGCTGCTTCTGCTGCTGCTGTTGCCACACTCACATATGTGTTGATGTGTGAGTGTGTGTGTAGTTTTGTTTTATATTTTTTTCAATGCATGACTGCGCGCCGCATTGTTGAGAAAAGCTTTTTCCTCGACTGTATGGCATAAAAGTTAGCGCGTTGCCGCAATGACAAATACAACAACACAACTACAAAAAAGAAAAGAAATAACAACAATTAGCAGCAGCGGCAGAGCGGTGAGCCAGTTGCGCTGGTATTGGTGAGAAGCGAGCGAACGTCGTCAACGTCAAAATCTTTGGCTCGCTCGCACACACACACTCGCACATAAAAGCTTGCAGAGAATTATATGAACAAACGTCAGCGGCTGCAAAAAACTGTTGTTAAGACAAATAAACAAATAAGAACAAAAAATACAAATAAATAAGAAAAAATAATTTCGCAAGTTTGTTGCCGATGTGAGAATGTGTGCGTAAACGACAGAGAGAGGGACAGAGAAAGAGAGCAAAAGTTACTTTATCCCGGTAACGATCTGGCAACACCAACAACAAAAACAGCAGCAAAAGAAATTGCGTTGCGGCAATGGCAACAATATTCAGAAATAAGCTCTAAAATACTCACGTCACAAATTTAATCAACCAAACAGCAATAAACATTAAAGTAACTATAATTAATACGACCAAATAAAAAAAACAAACAGAAACAAAAACAAAAAAAAAAAAATTTA